TGTTGCGCATGCATGTGGACCTGTCATTTCATTTTTAGCTTAGTGTTTTTGGTTCTTGAAGCATGCTGGTTTTATTGTAAGTTGAGTGTTGCATGGGTCATGGCCTAGGAAGTATGTAGTAGGACTCTGGTGAGAGTTTGGTTCTTAATGAAGTGAATGGGTTAGGTTGTGTTCTGATTACTATGAAATTTTTAGAGTGATGGGTGCGTATATGGATATATGTCGGTTACGTATCTTTTGTGAATTATCTGCGTTGTGGTGTGTAAAGCATGTTGAGTGTTAGGAGAAGGGTGTCCTCCTGATGCTGGATGGTCATGTCTGGATGATAGTGACATAGGTTTTGTGTATAACATATGTTCCATTGTTGTGACATAATTTCTGCATGGGTCATAGCCTAGAAAGTATGTAGTAGGACTCTAGTGAGAGTTCCGAGATTTAATAAAGTAAATGGAGAACTAACAGGGCCAAAAAGGTTGGCACGTCACTAGTTGGGTATCGAGGCTCCAGGTGCAAAGGTCGGGGATCGATACCCTAATTTGGTAGAGATGAGTGTCGAGGCTCTGGGTACAAATGGTCAGGGGTAGGCACGATGATTCTATTTTGTTGAATTAGTATTGGGTCTTGATGTAGTGGCGGTCAAGGACCAATACGTTGAGTCGTCGTCGATACCTTGGGGATAAATGTCAAGGGTCGATGCACAGTTCAAGGCTTTGGGGATAAATAGCAAGGTCGAACACCAAGCTTCTGTAGATGAGTGTCGGGCCTTGGGGATAAATGGCAAGGGCCGATATGATTCGAGGAGTTAGACTTGGAGGACTAGCATAAAGTGACAGATTAGGAGTTGCTTGGAGGCCAAGGGCCATTATGTTGAGTAGTAGTTGAGGCCTTGGGGATAAATGTCAAGGTCCAACACCGAGCACCGTAGAGGAGTGTCGATACTTTAGCTACGCGAGGTCAGGGGTCGACACGACTCAAAGGGTAAGTCTTGGAGGAATCAAGAAAGAGCACTAGTGAGTTAAGATGTGAGGCTGAGTTTGACATGTATGGAACATTTTTAGTTAAACTTATACATAAACTACTTCTTGAAATATGTTTCTTTTATTTGAGGCTCGAGATTAATGATAAACATGCTGTGTTGATCCTTTGATAAGCATGACACGTTGTATCCTTGATAAGCATGTTGTTTGTGCGTGACCCTCAGATAAGGGCTGCTTACTGAGTACTGTGGTTGTACTCATTCCTCTTTTTCCCCTCCAGTTTTGCAGGTATCGAGTTAGCTCTTGGGAGGGTGATGGCGAGGAGGAGACTTGACTAGAGAGACCATTTAACGCTGCGTCGTCAAGTTTCCATTTGGATAGGATAGTTATAGTTGTTTATTCGTAACTGAGTATGTTTTGAGATTATTAAATTGGGTTGTTAAGTTCCATTTGGATAGCAGGACATGTTGTGTAACGACCCAGAAATCTCGCGCACCTCTAGGTCACATGAACTACCCAACTAATCAGTTTTAGCCCCGATTACAACTTGCCAACTTCCTTTGAACATAAAC